TAAAATGTTTTCATTCCTGTATCCATCCTTAATACAAAGAACTTTACAACCTGCTATCACCTTGATCTACATTCTAAGTCCACGAGTGTCATTGTTTCAGTTTAAAAATGGAGTGTTCCTGATGATTAAGCGAATGATTTTGGCGTTTATAAAATTTCTAATTACTAATACGCAAAAAATAAATTACCCAAATTGATACTGTTGTAATTAATATTCAGAACCAACCAAACACATTTGTGGTCCAAGGAAATTTGTAGGCGTATACTTCACTCACATAACTCGTAAGAAACAATGTGAGTGAAGGGATTTTCAGGAAGTGTAAAAAATCAACAAGACAAAGACAAAAATGCGACAAATACCATGCAGGTAGCATCATAAGATTAGGTGGGCATTAGTAGTGAAACGTCGCTTCATGAAATCTCCGTTACCTGAAGCACTGATCAGGCCGACGCGTAGAACTAGAAGTTCTGCAAGTACAGGCCGTCATTTGTACGCAGGGGAGGGGGGAACTAGACAGCATTTTTGAAGGACGTAATGTAAACGTCTACAGCAGAGGCTGAATGAGAGAATATCTCACTACGCGAAGCCTATTCCACCGGGATATAGAGGAATCACAACTCCTTGTTTTTTCTGAAGCCTAATATATTGGGTTCCTGCAAAGAATGCAATGCTGATTGAGAGTAATTAACAAAAAGATGACACTAAAAGTTATTCGTTTCTTATATTAAAGCTTTTAGGAGTCTTTCAATCGATGTTTCTGTTAGAACAAGCCAGAAATATCTGATATATGTAGTTTACATGCATTAGGCATCAAGCAATTACGCACATCCTGGTCATTCCTACAAGCTCAGTACGAGGTATTTTATTGTATTTTCCTATATAATATGTATTTGTTCTGTATTTAACGTTGGCCATCTGGCAGCCGGATGTCATGTACAAATCTCATATTTTACTCGGTATCGCCTGCGAGTCCAAACTAGCATGATCATTTCTTAGAATTCATACTATCTGCCTCACAGCTTCCTAAAAGTAACAACGCAATGACGGAAACGTTACAGTACAGCCTTGTAATAATTATATAACTGAAACTATTGAATAATGTAACTACATAAAATACATCATAATTTCCAAGATTCAAATCCCTGCACAATCATGTAATTAATTTAAATTTTAACTCACGAAAAAATTACTTTCAATCTCATCAGTATTATGTTAAGCGGCCTCTTATTGGCTGATTTTAAATTCAGGGCGAAGCAAAACTCGCATCATCTTCGACGCTACGTTTCAACACAGTCGAGCTCCAATCTTTATCGAGAACACACCTCTGTGTGTCGCTGGCTCGCAGTCACATTGCATCATCTTCACATTACAATGTACAAAGTATACGTGTGTGTAAGATTTGCTTGAATGTGTTATTCTAACACATTCTTCATTCTTCAGTGTATTCTACGACGAACTAATTCATTCATCTGTGTCATTCTAACTACCAGGACTCGAATGTGAAACGTTAACATCTCACGTAAATGTGTGTGTATATGCGCTGCAAACTATTAATTCATCATCGCAGTGATTTGGTTATTGCCATTCCCGCATATTGCAAAATGCGCTTTATGTAATGTTCGTGCTTTGAACAGTGCCTGTGCGGGAAATCGCTTTATTGGACATGTATTCCCATGGCACTAGTCACTCACTTCTTGCCACTAACGAGGCAATGAACAGCGTATCGTTGGTATGATGAATATTTTCAATCATACTGCACGACTGTTAGTCGTCTGGCGAGCAGCTACAGCACGCTCCCGCCGCGTGAGCGACCCTAGCGCCTTATCACGCTGTGCAACTCGGCGCCTAATCAAATATGAAATGGAATGGAGTGTTCTTTTTTTTTCACATCATTGTGTAAATTTTTGTGCAACTTTTTTTACATTTCCTTCTAGGCTGTCCGGGTGACGCCGCGTCGTTGGCAGATGGGCCACATTTTCCCGACATGTGAACTGCCAATTTGGCCAACGACGCGGCGTCACCCGGACAGCCTAGAAGTAATGGACTCGAGCCGCGGAAGCCTACGTGTACATTTTTTTTACATTTGTTCTATCGTTTATGTTTATGCCATTCCTACAAACTGATAATTTCAAGATATTTCATAACGGTTCAGTCATGCCATATTATGCTATCAAGCTTTGCTGTACCATGTGTGTGTGTGTGTGTGTGTGTTATTTCATTTTCATGATTTAAACCTTCACAAGGCATTACAATTTTTGCAACATAATATTTGTAATAATTGCATTGTTCAGTTATGTATGTATCAAATTCAAGTGTGTCTTCCATTTCTCCTGAGTAATGGCAACAACACTTGGAATCACCTCCGTCCATTTCTCTGATCTACTTTGACTATGCACTTTCTGTTATGTGCGGACCGTTCAGCGATCACTGGCGTTTCAAAATACAGCTCGACTACTTTAGAAATACTCCTTTACCTCCGTTATATTACAAACCAAACGCGACAAAATATTAAATTTATCTCCATCAATTTACTACTCCACTACTTTGGGCTTTGCCTCGTACCAATGAAGAGCAAAAAGGCTTGGATTAGGTTGAGTTGCCGTGTCGGGGTTAGTTCAAGACATTACCACTCCCTGGGCAAGTAAATTCCGCCCGGGGCTGTGAGGATCTTACGCTAAGTGGTGGCGCTCGCAGGGTGGGGGGAGAGTGCACGGAGCGCGCCTCTTCAAAGACGCTTCAAGTGCTGTAAAAACACCGCACAGCAGGCGGCGGGGCGGCACCGGTGGGGAAGTGGCGAAAACGTAGTTGCGGTTGTCGTGGAGTCGGGGGCGCTAGTACAGGCTCGGTGGCGGTAGCGTTTGTCTTAGTAGTGCAGATGGTAGTACAGGCGACGGACGGCCGTGCGCAAGTAAGGGTGCCGGCTGAGTAAGTGATAAGGTAGCTAGCTGAGTGGGCGTATGTGGACGGATCGGCTGTGGCTGTAGAAGAGGGCAGACATGGCGGAGAAAGCAAGGGTGCCGAGAGTGCCAAGAGAGGGTGAAGTGGTGGCGAATACCTAGAAGGGGGAAGCCGCAAATTGGGCAGAGACTCAGAGTCGGAAGGAGTCGGGTGCAGAGGATCGGGTAGAGGGGACTCAGAGTGGCGGGGGCTCTCGATAGTGGGGACTCGGGAGGGCTTGGACTGCGGGTGGCAGACTCGGAGTGTTGGAGACTCGGAGTGGCAGGGGCTCGGAGAAGCGGGATCATGGTGGGGACTCGAGGTGGGAGTAGACTTAGAGTGGAGAGGACTCGGGATGGCGGGGACTCGGGAGGTCAGGGAAGGCTACGTAGAAGTCTCGGGTTCGGAGTGAAGCTAGGGAGAGTTTCGGAAGGAACAAAATGGCGGACGAGGTAGGGTAGTTAGTAAGGACGACGGGGAGCAGGGCAAAGGGAAGATGCCGATGGTGCAGGGTGCGGAAGCAAAGAAGGAACGGGGGCAACGGATTGACAGGAATCGCAGGAAGCCGATATATCGTGAGCGATGAGGTGATGCGGACACGAAGATGGCGGGTTGCGATGTGGAGACGAGGATGCGTAAATGGCGGGTTGCGGAAAAGGAGAGGTGGCGGAGTTCAGCGGTGACGGTGGGGGCGGCAAGCAAGAAACAAAAAAGAGAGCGCGCGCTTAATTACTTGCGCATTCTTGCCAACGCGTTGCCCCTACTCTCCTCCCTACTACTTGTCGCCCTCTGTCTCTCCGTCGACTCGCAAAGAAGTCTACATGCTCGCGGTCAACAACGATGCAAAGTATTCTATGAGATGTGCAATAGCTAATTTTAGTAGAAGTTCTATGAGTCACTTTTCTCCATTAAACAATTGTAAATTAAAATGTGGATAGAACACGTAAAATGAGGATAGACCTCAGTTTTTGATAGCTGATTATGAGAATTGCATGATAGTATCAATACAAGTTGACGCGCCTACGAGATAAGCTCTTGCAGTTACACATCTGATCTATTCAATCGAAGTCACGTAATGCTACAAAACGACGAAACGGTACGTGTAGTCTTATAAAGAAATTGGATGACGTCAAAATACCTGAAACTGATTTTTTGGTTCAATTCTAGGGTAATTATACACGCATATTAAGAGAATTATTTTGGCTGGCCGTAGTGAGAAAGAGCACGTATTGATATATATGTGACTGACTCCAAAACATCAATAAGCCATCTACATTTTGTGGAAAGTCCAAAAGTTGTAAGACACAAAACAAATTACAGAGAATTGTAGTAATCGCGTAATCAGTTTGGGGTCACGCCAGGTGCCGTTCGATGAGTTTCGATGGCCAGATTTTGTTGCCTAATGTAAATATTTAAATACGACAAGCTTTCAAACCTGTTGAAAGTATTGACGACATCACACTAATCAGGTATTGACGCATTAAATGACGTTAGGGACATTTCAGAAAACTACGTTGACTACAGAATGCGTCGAGCGGACCATCGGCGTCCACCGACGCAAGTGCGGCAAAGCTAATCAAGTACTTTTCTAACAGGCACAGTGAAGCCTAATGAAAGGCCAATAAACAACGTTCATGGCCTCTCTGTGTGATTAACCACAAATTCACTTAGTGATGCTTCTACAGGCCCAGACAATACGTTTATCTATGTTGACGTAGGAAAACGTATAGAACGAAAATTGACGAGCAGTAAAGTTAACCACTGAAACTTATCAAACAATTAACAACAGCATTTTCCTATTAAGTATGATTAGCTTTTACATTTTCTGTATCTCTTTAAAAATAATGTAATCGTCAATTCATAAGTACACAATCCGAGAAGTAAATTACAAAATACAAATTACAAGCTTTGTGGTTGTAGTGCAACGGCTACTCAATTTAACTCACAGTTTGGTTCATTATTTCAGGTACGATGGTGATCTGATCAAACGACATTTCAATCCATAATGGTTGGCATTATTGATTCAGCGAATCAAATGACATTAAAAGTAATGACCAACATACCTTCAAGTAGAATCAGTAGAAACAGCTGTTGGCCAAAGCACACGTCCTGAAAATGGAAATTTTAAATTATCTCTAAATCATGATAAAGGATCTTGTTTTAAATATACCCGCAAAAATAACCACTCATTATAAATCTTACATTACATTTTATATTAGCAAAAATTTGCTTTCCTATGAGATAGATTTTTTCGTCATTATATTATGTACTTAAATTAAATATTAAATTTAAAAAATATCATTAACCAATTATGTGACACACAAAAATATTAAATAGAAATAAACAGATAATAAATTATAAATCCAGTACTGCTAACCATCACAACTGGTTATCGAAGGTTAGTAATTCCAAGAAACTACAATGTACATTATCTCTGTAAAACAATATGAGAATAAAATATTATTATTATTATTATTATTATTATTATTATTATTATTATTATTATTATTATTATTGCTATTATTACTAGTAGTGTACTTAAAAATGATCAAGTACTAATATTTCTACAGATCATGTTCTACGAAGAGAGTGCTGCAATGTAAAGCATTTTCATCAGTTTTCAACAGATTAGGACCTGAAACTGGAAAGCCAGTGGTCTTAAACCTCTTAGAGAAGACGAAGAGGACAGTATTTGTGGTAGGCGAGTATGTCAGATTCAGAATTTCTAAGCGTGCTAGTTGAATGATACGAGAATAATTTAACTTTAACGATCTGAGAATAATAGTTGCATTATCGCAGAGTGAGGATGCTCCGTTACAGGTGGTACGGCACTTCGAAATAAAATGACGGAATACTTACTAAAATGGCCTATACTTCTGAACGACAAATACGTGATAATTGAAAGTGAACATTAAACATTTTCGGAGCTAAAATAAGCTTCAATAGGGCTTCAAATATCAAATTATTTGAAAAGGTGAACATTAAACATTGAATCCAGCGGATGTTGCTGTCATTCTAACGACATTCAATAACTGAAGATAGTGCCCCTGTATATCCATCGTTAACCTCCGATCTCGCATTTGTGTCGGCGGTGGCCAGCCGAACAGCCGCCGCGCCAGACGCCACAGCAGCCCCGCCGTTGAGGGGTAGGGGGTGGGGGGAACGGGAGAAAGGCACGGCGCAGTTCTCCGAAATTACGCCGACCTCCCGGGCGCAGTCGCGATATTGAAGACCCCGATCCCCCTTCCGCTTCCGCCCCCGCCGCCGCCGTCTTCGACCGTCGAAATGGGAAACTGCCGCAATTCGGAAACGGTGACGTCGGCAACTACAGGGTGGCGCTCAAGTTGGATGTGCTGCGGGGCGGTTTCCGATATAACGAAGGCCGGCAGTCAAGAAATATAGTGATTCGGGAGGACGTAATGGGTTATGGCAACCATGACCGTGGGTCGGTGAAACAGACTTGGGCGATATATCGGTACGAGGGAATGTGGGCTTTACTTCTCCCTTTCGCATATGAGTATGTTCTTCACCTCTATCGTAAGCGATTGGTACTTCATGGGCTACGTCAGCAACTCATTCTGCCTCCGAACGTATGCTCTGTGTAAGAGTATGTTATTCATTATAAATGGACATGAATATGACTGAGAATACCGGATTAAGCGAGCTGAAACCTTCCGACAAAACGATTTGGAGGATTTCCGTCTTTCAAACACATTTGTTAGAAATCATTGATGACACTTGGTGAGAAAAGTCACAGATGAGAAAAACGACATTTAAGAATTCCTACCAATCGGCTACTTTTCAGAGACACGACAACATTTGACAGCCTGGAATATCCATTTTCGCAGGAATAGATGATGATCATAAGAAATCGGTGAAATTTGCATCCCCAGATTTTTTTACTAAAATCTTAGTGGCACCCCCTCATATAATAATTCTTAAATACGTTCGAGTGCAATACAGAGTTGGCGAATGAATGTGTTCTTTATTACCAAAATAAATGGTTATTTTGTACATAATTAAATTTTGGCACAAACATGTATGTATTCTTGTTCATCAGATGAAACAAACGGTGCTGTGTTTTGGTGTGGGTAAGTGAGGTCACCTGTATATCTAGGCAGTATGTTCGCCACACGGTGAGAAATGAAGCAACACGAAAATGTAAAGATTCTTATTAGCTCACGGAACAAAAGAAGTGAGCAGGGAGAGCGCAAGTAACGCGGGAAAAAAACTGCGTTAATTATTCGCAATTTATTCTCCTACGCTCATTTCAAATATTTTCCATGATTCCGTATGTTTTAGCGTTTGATGCCAAATCCAGCATAGTGACTGTCTTAAAGATGTTACTGATATTCATAGAACAAATAATGACAGAGCAATTAATAAAAGTACACCAAAAAATAAGAAGGCAGAAGAACATCGAGGAAACTACCGGGAAAGCCACACTTTCCCACTTTGTGGTGTTTTTACTTGAATGAACGAGGATTTGAGCCGCGGTACCCAGAGGAGGATCTTAGGGAGATATGATACCATTTGGAGGGAGAACAGCTCGAAGGGCGAAGAAAAGATGGAAAGAAGATTTATGCAGTCAACATCTAGTAAATCTCCGGAATGAAACGTAAAAAGTAATTAAAAATAAAAAAAAAGGGGGAACTAATAGAAAAGAAGTATGAAAACGTGAAGAAGAATGGAAAGATTCATTGAAAGATGGGATGGAAAGATGGATGGGATGAATTCGGAGCATCGGAAAGATAGATGGAGAGAACGATGGGTGAAACAGGGATGTGCCGGCAGATGAAACGATGTATAAACGCGTAGGAGGATAGATGAAAGAATGGACGAACGAAGGATGGATGGATTGATGTAAGAATGTAAGGAAGGTAGTATGGACGGAAGGATGGGTGCGTTTGAAATGCTTTCCGCGTCACGGGCGGCTGTTCCAACCACAGCGCGCGCTGCCTCCGCGGAAACGCGACGGATGAGGCAGCGAGCGCGGTGGGAGCAACGGCTCGGAAAACGCGTCGTCCTGCGCTACATTTGCCGCCGCCGCCACCGTTGAGCGCCCTAACTGCCCCTGAAGGCCCCCGCCCGTGGTGGTGAGCTAAGGGCGGTCGACGCCTCTCCCTATTACCGCCCTATTAGGAGAACAAGGCTCTGCTCGCACAAGCATTCTGGCTATTTCCATTTTCGTTCTGTGGTGAAGGCGGAGAAGTTGGTCGAATCACTTCATTTTGATTCACGTTACAAAGCATCTGTTCAGAAGGGAGTAAGACAATAATTTTGAAGTTTAAATAATAATGGGCAAACCGAAGGCTACGCCCCTATCTCTGCGCTGGAATTTGAAGTTTGTAGTTCTCGGACGAGTTCACGTTGTGTCTGTGGCGTGGAAGAGACACACAAACCAACACGTTTCTCATTTGATTCCCGTTCTAAATAAGAGTTTATCATATACTGTCCGTAAGTGTCCGTAAACTACACACATTACAATAATTTACACTTGATCACCAACATTGCGTTAGGAATAAGGCATTAAACGATCATGGGTAAGAAGCATGAAAAAGGTAATAATAAATAATCCATTTACGGTGATAAATCACGAAACTTATGGCGTAAGACGTTGTTGAATACAAATGTTAACTGGAGTCATGGAGATTTTGAATTGGCCTTCCTATGGACCACGTAAGGCTCGAGACCCAGAGGGCTGTCTGACGAGGGCAGTCAATTAAAAAACATTTGAGCCTATTCATGTAATTTATTTATAACATCCTTATGCATTCCTTATAAGAATCCTCGTGCGGGGCCGTGGGCTGACCTCTGCAACTGGCGTGGGCCGCGAGGAAGAGCCGTCAGGCCACGTGATGGCGCGCGGCGCCCGTGAACGTCTCCTTTATTCCTCGTTAACTGAAAATGATGCCCGCGGCGCTGATGTCCGCGTCCGCAGGGCCAAGGCTGCGGGGGCGGGCGCCGTCGCCCCTCCGCGCCACTGGGGCAGCCACCGCCCGCAGCCCGCAGCGAGGGGGCGACACGCTCACAAGCGACGAGAAGAAGGAGAAGAAGACAAAGATGAAAATGATGAAGATGAAATCCAATAAACAGGAACAAAGTATCTGACCTTGGCAACGGCGATATTAAGCGTTAAACGAGCGTAGCTCATGAATCGATTTTCAGTAATATGCCAATGTGAACTGAGATGATCGCAACGTTAAATTCACATTATCTTAAATGCCGCTGTATAGTATAACGCCCAATAAAACATTGTGTCACTGGCAGGGTTGATACTACAAACCAATGGCAAACTTGCAATGGTAGTGAGAGTAGCAGGGAATGTGATGAGGCTTTCCTCTCGCTCCTCGCCTCTGTTATCTCTCTTGCCTCTTGATTTAGCGATACTTTGAAGCCACGCGGGCAGTAATTAGGACTACTAATAACCCCGTGTTCTCTACAGCGTAGGCTTCAACCCACGCTATACAAAGTTTGTCTGAGAAAATGCGTTAAATGAACAATGTAAGCGACACATGTTTCTAAATGCTTCAATACTAATTTTCATACCCTTTTTTATAATGACAAAACGAATGTATCCCTTAGAGATGAAACACATGCGAAATAACTTATGCATTATATAATATGATGTTAACACAATTCACACAAATGTCAACAGAAGACAAATATAAATGTTTCTTTATTTCAACGCTTGTTTTATTCATAAAAGAGATAATATAGGACGTATAGGTATAAATAGACTTGACGCGATCGACAAGGCAAAAAACAATGAAATATTACCCTTATTGTAATATTTATACTAATAATTTTGTAATTCCCAATAGAACAACTTTTCAAAAACCAAAGACATCTCTTGCAAAATCAGTCATATTATTGACATTTACCAATTCGTATTATTTTTATTTTGTAAACATGGTTGAGTTTAACTTTTACCGCTTGAAAGTCTGAAGCATCTGTGGGCAAAACCTATCATTTCGATACATACAAATATACTGGTGTTTAATTAAACATGTCCTATTGTGCACGGCTTCACGGTAAATAGAAGCAAAACCCATTACAGAAGATAATTACATTATAACTAACAATTGATATCTAATGACAGAATTCAA